AGCTTCGGCCACGCCCAGATTGGTCTCTTTTAGGGGTTAAATTCAAAATTTCCGACGAGCATCCCCGTCCACTCCATATGGGAGTCCCCCCCCCCGGGGTACCGACCTCTGAACACGGTATTAGTCTAGTCTGCAAGGTCAATAAAATCACCAGGAAGTTATGGAGCTAGTTACTTTTTGCCTGCAGATTTTCAGCCCTGCGGTAAAATCAAAAGAAAGTATCGAGTTTTTGTTACTTGCGCGTATGTGTTGTCCGTAGGGGTATGTGTATGCCTTGGTGGGTCTTTCCCGCTCTCGATTAGAGGCATTATTTAAGACCAATTTCGATAAATTAAAATTCAGCCAGACACAATACAAAGCACGAGGCTCTAGGGAACCCCCAGAGACTCGTGTTTTGTCTACTGTTTTAGGACGAATTTTAATATATCGAAATTGGTCCATTGAATGTGAACTGATAACCCACGTTAGCAAGGTTACTGACCAAGCTCGCACGTGATTAATCTGCACAATGTACTTTTAGGAGTGTACTGGTAAAGGAGGTTTCTCGCTACCGTCTCTCCGTGCCCCTACTACCGAATCCGCACCTGTTGCTTAAATTCAGCCAGGGTCGGTCTAGAACGTTTTGCTTTATCTGAAGATTGGCTTTGATCATGCGTATCGTCAATGATGGACTGTGTACTTGCCCGTCACTCAATAACAGAAATGAAAAACTAAAAAGCTTTTCTGGCAGGAGACTACCACGGGGTCAACCATCATTGGTCTTCAGTTCTCAGGTCACGAGGTTGTCAGTAACATCACGAGCTTATATATTATTAGGCAGTATTATATCACCCATATTTATGTTCCATATAAATGTGATATTTGCGCCCCTAATTTTCAACTGAAAGCTCTTATAGTTAAAATCGCCATACATAACTCACGTGCTTTGGTTTTTGGATCGTGGATGAAAGGATAGCATGAACAAATTCTATAAAAGGGACTTTCAAGTTACTTTTACGAGCCGCCTGATATATTGAAATCATACTTTAAAGTTAATGAACGAAAAAATAGTAGATATATATATATGCAAACTACCTGGAGGATAAACAAAAACATGAAATTAATGTGCTCGCCGATTTTGAAATGCAAGTGAGCAAAGGTGCTCTTTTATTTGATGTTCCCTAAATGTTCACGTTTCTATCACAGAGGATTTTATAATTTTGATGATATGACTATTCTGAGCGATTATGATATAAATTATACATTATTAAAATGTTTCTTAGGTAAATACATTGTTTCTTAATTTTAACCATGAAATCATTTTAGCTGATATAGCAAAAAAATAATACTCGAAAAATATTTTGAGTGGGGGATTTATCACCACTTCGCGATCTCTCGAAAAAGCTGAGCAAGCGTGCCCTTAAATGGCATGGGAGTCGGCAGGAAAAAAGTCCCCGTGCTTTTTAATTTTCTGGAGACGATATAGCTTCTCGTAAGTTTTCACTTATGACGGAAATGCAGAAAATACAAAGTGGAAGTACAGTACACGCAGTCATCGTTTAGACAAAGAGGTTCATTTACACAACCACGCAAATTCTGCGCTTCTCGAGCGTCATCTATCTCAAACAATATCGTGTTTCGAAATGCGACTGTTCGAGGTCGCGTTTCGGGGAATCCCCTAATTAATAATTCATCAGCAGCTGGCATTCACAGCATTCCTTCACGACTGCGAAAAGTCGCCCCGGGGACCCCGGGAAGGTCCCTTGACTCTCAGAAAAGGAAGCCGCTGATTGGTTAATATTTTTCCAACGTCGTTTCTGAGTGGTCAGAGGTGGTCAGCGATTGGTCAGCCCTTTGTCACGTGAAAAAGGGAAATTTCCCTTCGACGAAGCAGAGTTGTATAAACGCCACAATCCGCCATCTTTTGGCGTTTCCAAGCATTTTACGCTACCGTTCGACGGAGGAAGTTTTACGAAACGATTTGCGTTATTTTTGCTCGTTAGTGAAGTCTGCGTTACTTTTGAGTTGCGTAAGGTTTTATCCAAAAGATTTTATCGTCTAGAGAAATGGATTCAACTGTTGGACCGCGAAAGCTGATTCCGCGAGGAGCGATGCGGAGCGGGCTTGCACAACAAAAGCTCTCCTCTTTCGTCCAGGGAGGAGGAAAGGCAGTCACCGCCAGCATACAGTGTGACTCTGGGTTTGGAGACGACGAAGAGCTTCGTTCTCAAAGCATGGAATGTAATGACAACGAAATACGGAGCGTTGAGGAGAGGACGCAAAATCTAACCATCTCCGATCCCGACACGAACACAAGACATCCTTCCCTCGAAGCGAACGAGCAAGTACTTTCACAGACTGAAGAACTTTTTCTCAATTATGCCCGGAGTAATGATGTGAGATATTTATTTGCTCAAGAACATGTTAGAAGGCTGTTGTTTCTACAAGACGACGATGGAGATACGTAAGTTTTCAAGCCAAATGAGCTTTGATAGATTTTTCCCAAACTAAAATTTTATACGTGCTGACGATGGCCACGTCTGATGACCTTTGCCTTTGGAGGAAACAAAATTATGGTTTTCCCATTTCTTAGTTTTCCCAGTGAAAGTAAAATTTCTTTCATGGTTTAGTGTTTCCTTGTTTCCCATAAAAACGAGAAGATAACTCCTAACAACACGTTTTAAAGCTTTCGTATGTTCAAAACTTTTAAAATGGTACTCCCGCGCGCCATGTTAACAACGGACAAGTTTCACACCGCACGGCGCTCGAGTTCCAAATATTATTTTTTATAATGGAAAAGTCTTGAAACCTTCTCCTGGCTATTTTTGTATAATCAGGGACAGAACTCTCATACTTCCTATGTAAACTTTCAGAAATCATGATCAATTTATGAAACTGTTTCCCAAGATGTTTTCTTTCCAAGAAATGCTGGATGCCAAATATCTGCAATGCTTGTTGACCTTTTTAAACATGCTGAGGCCGATTTCTCATGCTGTCTATTTTCCCGTAAAACAGGGCTCTTCATTTGTCGATTGTAAACATGAAACCCATGGAAACAGATGCAATCATTTCTGTCGCACCTTGCAGAGAATGTCTCGACATGTACAACTATCTGAAACAGGTAAGCTTAAACTATAAAATGCAAACAAATGTTTGGCATACTTTCGCATTAGTTTGGCACATTGGATTGCAAGTGATCTCAAAGACGAACGCGAAAGAGGCGATTAAAGCATTACTTTGTGTTTCTCTCAACAAATTGTCGTTATTTTTCAACCGAATAAGGTTTCCTGTTTTCTCTTTCTTTAGACACCGTTTCACCTGGCGACCATCACGCGCCAACCCGCCGCGATCCGAAGGTTATTGGAGGCCGGGGCTTCTCCGGACATTCCGGACCGCCATGGCAGAACAGCCTTGCATTTAGCTTGCGAGCAAGGAGATCTGGATTGTGTGAAGGAAATTGTAAGGCCATTAAATGATAAACGATGGAATGAAGATATGAAAGAGAGAGTTTACAATATGCTGCATGAGCGAGACTACAATGGTAAGTCCAAATATGTAGCATTTTATTATTCAGAGTTGAAACGGTTTTCCTTTTTTGATCATTCAGGAAAAATGTTGATTTTTTTCGCCCACGCCGTGCAGGTACATGTAGTTTCGATTGATGACTCCAAACTTACGGGGGTTTCCCTCGCGATTAAGGAAAAATGTGCTGTGGAAGCAATAGTTGTTTCCGTTTGTTTGGATCAATTGTTTAAGCGGGGGGTTTCCCCACATATAGGAAAGGGAAATATGCTTGAAAGCAGTTTCGTTTTGAGACTTTTTCCCCTTCTGCTGATCCTTTCGAATTTCGTGAATGATTGATATTTATTTTCTCCTTACAAATGTCAATGCAATGCTAATGAGACAAGTGATGAGAATAAGGAAGGTACAAACTTCCTGATGTTTTTCTTGATTTAAGACTAAATTCGGAGAAATTGTGACATACACCAAAGGGAATTTATATTTTGGTTACAAGACTGTTAGAAGATGTACTAAATTGAAGCAAAATTATGAAATTGATTATTTCTAAGCACTTAACTTTGTGTGTTAATTTATGTCAGTGCGCCAGTTTTCGCTTGATCAGCATAATTTCGTATGATGGACCTTAGTTAACTCTCACTGATATTTTTTGCAGGATTTACTGCACTTCACAGCGCAGTGTTTATGCATAGTGTTCAGATCGTCAGTTATCTTGTGTCTCTTGGAGCTAATGTTAATATGCAGGTATGCCTTATTTCTTTCTGTTTCGTTAGACCTTTTTCCTCATTCCACTTTATTTATGAACAATAGAACTGGAACAAGGTTGGGTCACAACAACTTGCAGAGTCTTTTGAAATGCATTTGTTAACTGATAATTATCGGCATTTCTAGCCCTGTATAGTTGTTTGGGGCATCCACTACTTCTCTTATTCATCCGTGGATGCAGTTCTTTTGTTTTTGTTCCCTTAAAACTCAGTGCCATGCTGGAGTTTTAATATAATGAAACTGGCCCATTAGTCTGGTTTAGTATGACAGCCTTTGCAAGGGTTTATCTTGGGCAGGAGTTGAAATACAGAGGGATGAATATATATAAATTATCGTGCTTTGAGCTGAAATCAAACTGAGTAATTTATGATCTCATTTTGCAGGATGGAAAGAGTGGACGCTCTGCACTCCACCATGCAGTTGAAGCAGACAACCTGTCCATGGTGAACTGCCTTCTGTATGAATGCAATGCAGATGCAGATGCTATGACACTTGACGAAATCACACCACTGCATATTGCTGCTGGGCGTGGCATGGAATCTATAGTAGCTCTGCTACTGGCTGCAGGTGCTGACCCGAGAATGACCAACTATGAGGGTGAATCACCACTAGATGTTGCCACTTCACCTCAGGTGATTACTAAAGAAGCCCTTTATTTCAAATCTTTCAGGTGAAGAATATGTAACTTGCAAGATGATTTTACTCAAGGTTAATCTCTATTACAAACATAAGTATTTCACTGACAGTTAAAAAGCAGGCAAACAACTATAGATCCTTCTTACTTGTTTTCAAGCTGCATACTTGCACATTTAATATATAAAAAAACACTTGAAGGCAGGTCTTGCGCTATGACCTTCTACTAATAAAAACACAGAACACAAGCACAAGTGTTTTTGTGTGGTTGCCAACATATAACTTTTGTGAACAGGATGTTATTTTGCTACTAGTACAGTAGTTGATTATTCTATGTATTTTGTAAACCTTACACTATTATTGTTGGTGTCTTCCTACAGATATGTGAGATGGTGAAGTTCAATTGTTAAGTAGCACTGAGATGATATGTCAAGGATGTCCAATTGAATGCAATAACTCAGAGATTATTTTCAACATACCCTGATGTAAAACTGTAGAACTTGTATACAAGCCTACAGATTTCTTAGTCTATAAGATCCATACACAATATGTAAATAGCAATGAGACTCAGAGATTCTTTATAAAGCTAGACAAGAAATCATGTAGAGTGTTTCCCTTGAGGTGTTCAGGAGGGAATAAGGTCAGATGGTGGTTTTTACAGGGTTGGAAATTTAGGACCCCCTAAAATAACGAAACAGAAATAACATCAAAACTGATTGATGCTCATAGATCATACATGACTCCATTTGAAGCTTATAATTTAGGTTTTTCAAACTACATACTGGTATGTTTCTTTTGCTGTTATAGATCTGCATGTTAACCTTTTGTAGTGCTGAAAGGATAATATTTTGGTTTTCACTTAGGGAAATAGAACTAAAAATATTTCAGTGGTGGTTCTTTTATTTAGAGGTTCTGAAATTAAAGTTATGGTAACATTATTTTAGTTGTTTTTAATAGTGCAGTACATACTGTATGTTCTTCATGCCTGTTTAATTACTCAAAATGCTACAAACAAAAACACAAACTTATTAAGCTAATAAAATTGTAATTACAGAGAAATGTTCCTTGATTTCTCTCAAGCAAGAGGCATAATCAAACTGTCACAACAGAAAATGCTGCTAACATTCTCAGTTGTGGTTTTAGATCTGATAGCCACACTGTTTTACAAAGGACTGAATTTTAAGATTAAAAAAAAAAAAAACAGGAAAAAAAAAACAATGCATACTAGTTAAATGGCTACCCTCAGGGAGGACTGTTACATTTTGCATGAAATAAATTTGTGATTCAGTTCAATTTTGTTTTGTGTGTGATATTGGGAAACCGTTTACCCTGACACAGACTTCATTTTGACCTAGTAGTGGTTGTTTGTACTTGTCCTCCTAAAGACCAGCATCCCCTTAGGTCCCCTTAGGTCCCCTTAGACTCCCCTAATTAAGAACTTGACCATTCGGCAGTTGAAGTGGTGTTCCTATTTGCCACAAGTTTTTCAGGGCATTCATCGGTTAACATTTATATTACTGAGTGAAGAATGATCATCGCAGTAAATTTCCAATTTAAGCAATTGGAAAGAAGAAGCCTGCAAAAATCAGGGCTTCAATGGGATTCGAATCCGTGACCTCCGCGATACCGGTGCGATGCTCCGGTATCGCGGAGGTCACGGGTCCGAATCCCATTGAAGCCCTGATTTTTGCAGGCTTCTTCTTTCCAATTGCTTAAATTGGAAATTTACTGCGATGATCGTTCTTCACTCATCTACAACCGCAGTTCAAATATGAATTACTTCATATATACTTCACATCATTTCACTCCTCACGGGAAGATATGAACTCAATTGACCTCGCTCCCAATGTGTGGCTTCGTAGCTCAGTTGGTAGAGCATCGCACCGGTATCGCGGAGGTCACGGGCTCGAATCCCATGCGATGATCATTCTTCACTCATCTACAACCGGAGTTCAAATATGAATTATTTCATATATACTTCACATTATTTCACTCCTCACGGGAAGATATGAACTCAATTTACCTCGCTCCCAATGTGTGGCTTCATAGCTCAGTTGGTAGAGCATCGCACCGGTATCG